TGTTGCGCATGCAAACCTAATGGATATATGTAGAAGCATGAACATATCTGCACCTATGCGTGATAGACGTAGTTACATATGTAGAGATATATGTCATCAAGAGTACATAATAGAGATACTCTTGATGTCATACATGTCTTCATGGTTATATACCTATAGTTCGTAATGTTGGCTATCATTTTTTACCATTAATGTATTCTAACTTCTTCTTTTTTTTACATTACAATGATAGTTTACAGTGACAATTACTATATATATGATAATATAACGCTGGTGAACATCTTTAGTAGGTAAACTGGCAGCTAACCGGGCAACATAGGTTATTGGTAACACGTGTACATGAATGAATTTGAAGTATGCACATTTTTTAGTTTTAATTTGCATCGGTTAAATAATAAGAACTAATTGATACAGCTTGTGGATGCACTCTCCCTTTATATCTCTCATATCTAAATTTGATGTTTGTTGTTACTTCTCCAGAAGCAAACAGAGTTGTTTGCCTGCAGGTTTGGGCGGAGGTGTTCCAACTTGCTGTGTTGTTGCTGCAGAAAGTCGACGTATCAAACTTGGGTACTCTGTTCACCATGCTAGCCATTAGCTGGACACATGTTACATGTGAGCTAAGAGCATTGTTGACATTGCCGACAATAGCTAATTATGAGCTGTGTACTTTTGTAAACATGTGTAGTACCTTATGTATGAGTCACTAGATGCATACCTGCAAAGCGTTCAGTGCTTGCTTTCATAATTTTGGAATATCGTATATTAATCAATATATGTATATATATATATATATATAATAATGTTCACGGTAACCCTCTCATCACTCAATTCACAGAGGAAGTGTCATACCAGTATAATCAATGTTGACAACATGGTCTGCAGTTGGGAATGGTCAGATGTAAACTTTTTGCTAGTGTGTAGAAAGAGAGAGAGAGAGATGATGATGATAATATTATAAAAAAAGTGTTTAACAGTTATGATATGAATCATTATTTTCTTGGTAATGCAGGACAAACGAAGAGGGTTAGCGCTGAGCACAACGACCGGACCTCATTGGCAGTGTCTCTTCAGTCTGAGGCTGCGGCGGCGTCACTTGTGTGTCCAGGCCTCGTGTCTGCACTCTGCCAGCTAATGTGTAATCTAATCAGTCAAGCACGAGCCGACACTGCTCACTACCTCAAGCGGGATAACATCCTGCAGTCTCTACTCAGGTACAATGACAATTCCCTGCATGGTTTCACGTATCTCTCGTTGGCAGACCACGGAAATTTGGCCACGGGCAATACGTCAATTTTGAATTCTGAACAGTGCAGTGCAGTGCATTGTGGAAATAATTTCGTGGAAACCTATTTTACTTATATATTTTATATTATATTTTACTATTATATTTATGTATTATAATCATATTTCAGCATCATTGAAGTCTGTAAAAACGGTGTACTCATCCAACACTTCCGCAGACTTAAGTACTACACAGTGTTTAGCAAAGAGTACCCCAGCGTCATAATTAGGCTATGTCGCAATGTTCACAATGCTCTTAGCTCACATGTAACTGTGTCCAGCCTAATGGCTAGCATGGTGAACAGAGTACGCCAAAGTTTGATACGTCGACTTTCTCAGCAACAACCACAGCCAAGTTGGAAGCACCACTCCGCCCAAAGCTCAGCAAACAACTCTGTTTGCTCTGGAGAAGTAACAACCAAACATCAACAAATTAATATGAGAGATATAAAGGGAGAGTGCATCCACAAGCTGTTCACTTAGTTCTTAATTATTTAAGCCGATGCCAAAATTAAACTAAAAAAATGTGCATACTTCAAATTCATTCATGTACACGTGTTACTCACTAAGCGGCGGTATGTTGCCCCAGTTTTAGCTGCTCATTCTTACCTACTAAAAATGTTCACCAGCGTTAATATTATCATATATAATAGTAATTTGTCACTGGTAAACATCATTGTAAATGTAAAAAAAGAGTAGAATACCATTAATGTAAAAAATTGATAGCCAACCATTACGAACTATAGTATTATAACATGAAGACATGTTATGACAACCCCCCCCCCCCTCAAGATATTTCTATTATTACTCTTGATGACATACTATCTCTAAACCATATGTACTACGTCTATCACCATAGTGCAGATAGTCATGCTTATCATATATCCATTATGGTTTTGCATGCGCAACAGACAAAGTCAAGATGTACAATCTAAGCATGTAGTCTGCATGATTTTACCAGAAACTTCAGAATTAAACTAAATGGAGACAATACTCATTTCCCACTTCTAATCAAATGTCCAGCTTGTTTTCCTGGCTCAAGCCTTTCAATAAGTTACCAATAGCTGCTTCGTAAAGCATGCGTTTTAAATGGTGCATGTAGATCAGCTAAGAATTTAAGCCAATATAGTATGTTTAACTAGAGCACTCGAGAGCACGACCTCCGCCAAGCAGGCTCAATTCTGTCACTGTGAAGATTTTTTAATAAATTAATTGATCCGGAATCACCCCACCAAAATGTAATTCAAATTGTCTAAGTTACCCCCATTTCTGACCTATCCTGAAAATTTTATTAATAATTAATAATTATTGAGATCGGGATCACCATCAAAATGTAATCAATTCTAATTACCCCTTTCTGACCTATCCTGACAAAATTTAATTTAATAATTAAATTAATTAATTGATCCGGATCACCAACAAAATCTCATCAATTCTAAGTTAGCCATTTCTGACCTATCCTGAAATTTTATGACAATCCGTCATACACTTTTTCAAGTTTAGCGTCTGTACACAACCACAAACCAACAAACAAACCGCCGGTGAAACATCAACTCCTGCCAACCCCTTGTTTGCGGAGGTAATAAGTAATGTATTAAGAGCTATACTATGTATTAATACATAGTAATGTCTATGTGTAACATATTTCTACATATCTAACGCTCATATATATTCTAACGATTTACCTTATTGTTAGTTCTAGGAAGAGAAATTCAATAAATAAATGATTATTTCTCAATGCTATGAGCGTGACAGAATATTCTGACATGACGGTCAAAAAAAGATGAGTATAGTCTTATACACGTACGTAGCCCTAGAACGATCAGCATTGAGATATTCTGACGACGCCGATACAACAAGCCTTGTCGGTCCCCACCTGCTGCTGCAGCATGATGTCAGCGGCTCATGCACTGATGCAGATAGCTGCAGGAACTCTCGTACTTGATAGGTGCCGCTCAGGTGAAGCCAGTTGACACTTGCCAGGGTCACTTGCAGGCAAGCCGTCAGCAGTCCACCAACCTGCTGAATGAGGGAGAAGCATTTTGAAAAATAAAAAAAAAAAAGGAAAAATTAACCCAAAGTTACACACCGCACATTCGCAAGTCAGGGTCAGTAACATCCCAGTTGGCCTACTCCAATTTTCTGTCTACTCTCAGAATGGTAATAGTGCTATTTCGTCGAGTATTGGATGATTACAACAAATACCAGGAGAAATTAGAGTGGATTGAAACACTCCGCCTTGTTCTATGTATGGCTAATGCAAAACCATAATTACATAAATGATTATTTAGGGAGCAAACTGATGGTAACGACAATAATGGGGAATGGGGTGGGATTTTTAGTGTAGACGACGGAGTAGGC